ATAAATATGTTTGTAAAATGTGTTCAAAATATCTACAAGGACTTTAAAGTTGTAGCTAAAATGATTGATGTTTTCATAAATCCACAGTCTGTTTCTCTAAATAATCCACACAGATTAAATCTGGATGAATGAAGTATTTTAATATGCAGATTGGATGATGATTATACAGCAGAGGAACTGGCTGAGGTTCTGTCGATGACTCGGTCTCCTGACACCAGCTGGAGGTTCTGAAGCAGCACAACAATAAATATATTAGTTTTCATGGTTTTCTTGTAATGGGATTTTATTCAGGACAAGCAAAAAAAATTCATCATTACCTTCATTCATATTCTAAAGACCTTCTTCCATTTCGTGGCTAAAAAAAATAAACAAACGTTTCTTATATTTTCATGATATTCTGTTTTGATCTGGTTGTTTTGTTGTTCTGGGACAAACCTTTACATACCCGGTAGAGGAAGTAGCCTCTGCTCTCGATACCTCCGGGCCCCTGCAGTTCAGCCTGCACACACACACAATCTGCAGACGATCATTTTCTGCACAGTTTTAGTCTTAGTTTTTATTTCCTTTGCAGGAAAACAACACAATGGTTTGTGGTTGGACRGGACCAACAGTCTCATTCATACTTTGTTCGTTTTGCTACAGAGCAACGGATGATTAGTTCACCTTACAGCTGCACCAATTTCACTCTGTAATTATTCTTTCCGCTTGGAAATGCAATTAATGTGGAACAACGTTGTCAACATGTGAGCAGAGAATGGAGAAAAACATGTTTGAACCAGACATTCTGTCATGACCTGTCCTCAGAAAATATGCTGAGAAATCAAAAAAAAAAAAAAACTGCAGTCTAATGACAGACTGTATCACTGGATACATGTAAAAACAAAGCATTTTCTTCTACATGTCTTTGTTTTGTTAACCAGTTAACTGCAATAATCGATGGCAAGCAGAGGAAAAATAAAAAGTACCAAGTGAAGGCAAAGTGAGGTACGTACGCGCATCAAGAGTCCTCGCTCTCCTCTGGTGTGGAGCTGAGAAACTAGATGCAGAATAGGGTGGAACTGAGAGCTCTGGCAAAGACACACACACACACACACACACACACACACACACACACACACACACACACACACA